TAAGTATTAAAATTAAACATTTTATGAATTTTCAACGAAAAAATAATATTTTTTAAACTATCGTGTTTTTGACGTATGTCAAAATTTCAACTTCAAGTGCTTATACTGCTTATAGAAAAAATTGTGACCAAATAAACGAAATAAATAATGTTTTCTAAATGAATAATATTATCTTATAAATATAATATTGGTTAAGAACTTGAATCTGGTATTTTATTTATTGTTTAATGGATTTCAATCTTTTAACTAATTATATGTAATAGGTACCTGGAGTGCTTTAAAATGTTTGGATTTTAAAATCTAGTTTTTCGTATTATATCAAATAAATAATAAAATGTCTTATTTAATAAATATGTGAAATGTACCTATCTATGTGTTTAAACTCAAAGATAAAATAAATATTTTTTACTATACATTTTTAAAATGTTTGTACTTTTATTAAATTTACTAATTTATTATGATAAGAAAAGCGAAAAATTAAATAAAATAATTTTCAATGTAAGTATACACTTTGATATTATCATTTTTTTTTTTTTTTTTGATGTTCATATATTTTGTATGGGTATTTGAAGTACCCTTCATAAATATATATTACTTTTTATATGACTCGATTTTCTAACAAAAAGACGGTAATACGGTATAAATTATTATTGTAATCATACAATTATATTTTATTTTATACTGTTAGCCCCTAATCAATAAAATATTAATTATTTGTAAACAATGTGATATAATTTATAAGTACCTACTTGAATTTTTTTTTACCAAAATACCATATTATTATAATATAGATAATGTACGAAACGTTGTAACATTTTTCAAATACAATTACCTCTCTAATTACCCAACCGTCTAAAGGAATATTCGCCGAGATATAATAATGTGACAAATTAGTCACTTCTCTATCGCAGCTGACTTAAGTGCGTCGACGTGTCGCATCATGCATGTTATATCATTAGGCACTAGTGCGAATGGTTATCCTAACTCATTATTGTTACTGAACGAAGCCAATCAAATATTTTGGCGAACATATTGTGTTCGCTAAAATTATTGTATGTTATAATATACATTATACAGCATATTTCACATATTTTAGCGTGGCAAAAATCAAAAACTGTGGAAACTTATTTTGTAAATATCCTTTAATTAAATAATGGCAACAATCGAATTTGTCTATTCACATAATATGACACTAGAAAACATCTGGTGTGTGCCTATATTATATTTTAAAATATAATTTATAATAGTTAATAACATAATTAATCGCTTTATTATATCTAAAATATTTTGGCATATACCTATAACTTACAAGTTACATTAGTATTATACTATTGTCGGGCCATGCAATGTATTCAGATCTATTATAAAATATTGTACATCGTTATTACATAAATATCTCTGTAAAAAAGTAAGTACTAGTACTTGCTTATTATATTATCCACTTGACACGAATAAACAAATAGTGCACATACATACTTAAAAAGTAAAAAACTAGGTATAAGGACTAATTAACCCACAAACGTATGTGGACACTCAAAAACAATGGTTCTTATACATTTTTTGCTGTTGGTTGTTTTAGATTCGTATAACTACCACAATTTATTATTATACGCCTAGCCGATTTCGTTTATTATACGATAATTATATTTTTTAGATAAGTCTTAATGTCGTGTATACAAATATTAATATATTTATTTAACTAATACCTACGAAAAGTGTACACCGAGTCGATGCTTAAAAATAGTTAAAATTCGTAACATTAGAATAAAATTAACGGGAAGGAGGAAGCAAAAGGGAGGCCAAATGCCCAATATGGCCCGTTATTTTATATTTTTATTGCCAATAAATTATAATATAAGTCCTTCTCTCATTTTTATCCATTTCTTTACAATTTATTGTTGTCATCATCGCCGTCTTGTTTGCTTATGTGTACTTACATAGGTACCCAAAGTGGATTAGGCGCCTATATAATAATAATTATTGTCATAATATTATCATTCATATTTTGTATCGCTTACTTTTCTGCGTTTAACAATTATTATTAATTGCCGAAAACAACACGATGATTTATTTTTCAACTGTGTACCTACTTATTTATTGTTATTGAGCAAATTAATTTCGTGAGTGCTGTGTACACCCATATAATGTAATAATATATTACTGATAGACGATAATAATATAATAAAAAACGTTACGGTATCTTCTATTTTTTTATCGAAAATTCTGTAGGAGTACTCGACAACTTTGTAAACATCATACGTACAGTTGTAGGTATTCAATAATTTTTTATTCCTATAGATACTGAGTCAGCTTCTTATACGCGTTCAATATTAACTATTTTATAATGCATAAGAACAGTTCTCAATTTTAGTACAATATAATATCGTGTTGTCGAGGTCAGAAGTTCCTGTAACAAAAGTAGGCATTAAGGCATCTGAAATAGTACGGCGGAGATTGATCTGAAGGAAAAATATTGAATCCATTTTCTGTCCTCAGCTATTATTCATTCTCGAGTATAAAATATAAAAAATCACTATCTCATCGTCTCCCAATCACTTAAAGGGATTATCACCCGGTGCACAGATCCTGAAAGGAAAATATAATATAATAAGTAGAAGAAACGATAATTAATGATACCTTATGTTCAGGCTAATTTTATTAATGTCACGTGATAATAACTCGACTTTGGTGATATTATATAATACACATAGGCGCAATTTGGAGGGTGCTTGGCACCCCCAAATTTTTGATAGCATCATCGAATTTTTATTGACTATAAAATTATGCCATAGGGATTTGGATACATTTATTTCTAAGACTTTATCATTTTCTTAATAATAATGATACATAGGTATCAGTATAATAATATAGGTAAAATTGTATTATGTTATAGCCTATAGGTAATCTGTTTGTATTAAGATTAATGCGAAGTTGTATAAAATTTAGTTGTATGAATGGAGGGGGTGTGGTGTGCTTAAGTCAATATAAATCTAGCACCCCCATAAATTGAACCCAAATTGCGCCTATGATAATATAAATAATTCACTTGACCATTTAACAACTGCTTCCACTCCACACAATGCATTTCACACCCATGTTTATTTTAGTAAATAATACAACACTGAGTTGTGACATCTGTAGCTATAACCTATAATTATTATATAACATTAAAATATCCAACAAATAATCAATATTCCTCTTCCTAATTTATTTTACGCAGTATTATATGATTAAAAAAAAATAAGCGGAATAATAATTATTTTACCATTGGCCGCGATGTCCACGACCCGATAAGTTTCTGAGAGTCGAGATGAATATGTATTGATTTAACAATGATGTGTGTTTTTGAACATATGTTTTTGGGCTGGATACAACTTTTTTTTTCTAACCGATGTTTTTACGTAACACATTGTTTATCGCCATAGAAACGCTAATCAATAAAAAAATATATAAAATAATATATTATATTAAAATTCAATCTATAAATTCTTAATACATTAAATTCCTCTCAAAATGTAGCATACTACTAGAGATATTTTTTCAATGCACTATACCAAAAACAGATATATATAGATATATGATTCCTCTAAATTATGAGCGGAGCGATAAATGTATATTAATGTTATAATTTTGTGTGTTTTTTTTTAAATTTTTTTATGCACCTGTCATGACCTTTTGCATGACACAATTTCCATTCGTGATAACATTTTCGAAATATTTTGACTCTTTTTTATTATTTATAGACATAATTAAAATTAATTTAATACTCTATCTATGTTCTAAGAAATAGAATATATTTTATGGTTCTAAATATAGTTGTAATTTATTTATAAGATTAATAAAAGAGAAGAATAAACATATGAAAATATTTATTAGATGGATCGCCATTTAAATAAATTGCAAAGCCCAGTTGCAGACGTCACAATAAATTCTTTATACTTTAAAATCTAAGTAACAAAAACGGCGCTTGAAAAACATTTTCTATCACTTTCCTTGCTAAAACTAACATTTTCGAAATTTTTTTATTCCAAAATTGTTACTTAATGATGCCGTTAAGTATCTAGTATAGTTTTGAAATTCACTCGGAAATCCTTCCACCTTAAAATTCAAAAACAAGTAAAAAATGTATGAGAATGGCTAACAACAAGTGTAAGTACCTAAGTGCGAAAAAAAATTTAACATTTTCGACATTTTATTTTTTCAATATCTAGAATCTAGGTCTCAATTTATATGAATTTTCAAGCCCAGTTTAAAAGGTCGCAAAATTGTCTTTCTCCTTTAAAATCAACGTAACCCAAACGGTGCTTGAAAAATGTTATTCAGTCCTTTTCGCAGTATTAAAACTAACATTTTCGAAATTTTTTTTGCGAAAATGTAATAAACCGGTGCCGTAAACTATAGCTTAGTTTTGAAATTCGCTCGGAAATATTTCCACTGCAAAATTTAAAAACAAATAAAATATGGATTCGTCCATCATTACGGTCGACCGCATATCTGCTAACAAAACTATAATTTTACTGAGTCAATGAAATTAAATGTACTTACCTAGTTTATCTACGGCGACTGCAACCGCCGATTTTTGACCATTAGTAGCGACATAAACATTATAGTTGCTATCAGTGGCGGATCCGAGGTTGAATTCTGGGGAGAACTTTTAAAAAAGTACAACCTACTGAGTTGAAAAAGTACACAACATTTTTTTAATCATCTCATAGTTATATAACCTATTTAATATCACACATCACTATTACTCTGTCGAACGTGAAAAAACTCTGTGCAACTGCCTCCCCTTAGATCCGAAACTGGTCGCTATACCGCGATTACCTGGTATAATAAACTACCATAAATAGCAAATACGACAACTCTAGGATATGACGACGGATTACTGTATAGTTATAACTAAAAACGATAGTCCAATCATAGGCAAATATTCAAATACATTATGATATTGTGTGATTGAAATAATATTTTAAGCCGGTTTTATCGTATAATTTTCGCAGTTTGTATGCGGTTTTGTGCTACTATGGACTCTGACACTGATCAGCATGGACCGGCACCGGTGCATCGTCGTACCGCCATACCGGTCGCAGCTGACGCCCCGCCGTGCTACCGTGCTCACCGTTCTCACGTGGCTGATCGCCCTGGCCGTGTTCATGCCCGTGCCGTTCTGGTTCCACGAGCAGGCCGTGCTGGGTGACACCGCGGTCAAAGTGTGCACACTGGTGTTCCCCAAGAACGACACGTTCAAAATGTCCATCGTGTTCACCGTGTCCGTGGTGTCGCTGTCCTGCATCCTGCCTCTGTCGCTGTTCGTCTACCACTACCAGAGGATATTCCACAAGTTAAACAAGACCCGACGGCGGATCGAGCACTCCGTCTCGCACCGGTCCACCGCCGTCCACACCACGTCGCGGAACAGCCTGTCACCTCCCGCCAACGGTTCCATACCGCAGGTACGTGCACGCTCAGTTGTTGTCATTATAATAGGTATACACAATATACGTAGGTATCGCGGTGTATGGTAACAAATCACGGTATATGGTAACAAAAATACGTTAAATGGCAAGACTGGGCATTAACGAGTTAAAAGTTAAAACGTTAAGTTAATTAACTCGTTAGTTTTTTCTTGCAAATTAACTTTTAACTTAATGAGTTACTTTTTTTCAAGATTAACTTATTTACTTCAAGTAAATTTTATTTCAAAAGTATCTTAATTAAGTTAATTTTCATCCTGAGGAGCTTGCACATTTTTTAATGAGCTTTTTACTTTGATGTATCATTTTTAATTTCCCCAGTAATTTTCTTGAGTGTATAACTATCTAATAAACTATAATACTATGCGTCTGGATTTTTTTATTTTTGCAAATTAGCAAATTTTAACTTTATACTAAGTTAAGTTACTTTTTTTCCCAAGTTAACTTTTAACTTAACGAGTTAACGAAAAAAATACTTGTAACTTTTGACTTAACTAAACTTTATTATTTTAAAATAACTTAACGAGTTTAAAGAAAACGTTAACTTGCCCAGCCTTGTTAAATGGTTAGGCTAGGTATCAAGTCATCGTTTGTACCATCACCGGTCCTCGTATGCATATTCGGTTTGCGAACCGCATATTATTATTATTCCACAGGAACAACAAGTATCTGACATTGTCACTATCATATACATTTTGGTTTTTTTCTAAAACTTTAATATTATTATGTCGTACCTACGTTTTATATTCAAATTGTATTATTGTACAAGTGTACCTATACTTTTTCATAAACTTTAAAATATATTAATACAATTTTAGATCTATGTACCTTAATGTCCCAGTAAGTTTGGACATACTATATTTTTTTCCCCTCTTTTGTTTAAAACTAAATTTATAAAAATTTTAATTTTTAGATTCTGATCGTATTTTTATAAATAAAATAAATATTTTTAAAAAAAATTAAACAATCTACACATTTAACATTAGACAATATTATATCATATTTATATTCAAGTAAATGCGAATATGTGTATTATTGATTTCAAACGCGTAGGTGCCTATACACTACAATTGGTCATATAGTATTATTATAATATAATGAGCTCGTGGGTTCGAATTTGAGTGGAAAATAGATATAGTTACAATACAGGCATGATGAGTACGATAGAGTGCGTTTCAAAATGACGTACTTTTATATATTCTTCAATATATATTTTTGGCAATCGCTCAGCAACTATTAGCACCAATCCATCACTTCGTGGAAAGAAAACAGAAAATGTATATAACAATATATAGGCGATATTATATCTTGTATGTACCTTATACCCATATAGCTAACGTCTCTGCAGTAGTTGCAATTCGATAAATCTCGTCCCACTAGTTCCACTTTTAAGTTCCTAGACAATATTATATAATATAATAATGCAAGTATACGAGTATAATGTATAAATATATTAACTGTACAGAATTTAACACTGGAATAACAGACGCGCGTGCCGTCTTAGAACGGAATGCTACAGCAGATGAATAGTATTTATAAACAATATAAATATATATAATAAGTGTTCGTCTAACGAGACAATTTATACGAATTTTATTGCAGCGACCTTTTGTTTGTTATTAATTGCGTCTGGTCTTGCAGTACGGTGCAGAAAATTATACGAAAAACAGATGTAAAGCAGTCATAAGAATCTTTAATGAGATCCGAGCAATGTCCAAGGGCATTCGGTCAATAATTGTCAACCACTCAACCCTAAAAATCATCTTTAAAATATTGTGCACTCTTTCGTGCGAATGGAAATTTAAATGATAATAGCGTGATACAACAATTAAATATTTCGTTATTGATGTATCATTTTAGATTCTGAATGGAGCGACGACTCACAATTTATTTTTTGTAGGTATTCATTTTTTTCAATTACCTATTATCGTTCAGTAATTATTCGCTAGGTCAAAAAACTTATTTAATACGAGATTCCTCGTGAGTTTTTATGAGTGTAATATTAGAAAAAAAAGTTGAGCGTAAATCAACAATACATTTTTATGGGCGTCTGAAAGTGAAATTTCTACGACATTGGATATTTCACTCGTAAATTAATGATTTCTCATAGAACGAAATTATTATTGTTGGAATTCAAAAAAATAATACCGTAGATACTTAAAATTTTCACTAGTGTATTTATTAACATTTCCCATAGGTACACGATAACATTGTAAAAATTAATAAACTCTTTTTTACCTATTTCTAGACATTTTTTTTTTCCATAAATATCGATAAAATAATGTCAACTGGGTATATTGGGTCAAATAGTTTAAAATTTATATCATACATAATGTCTCTCTTAAATTTTTATAATAGGAATAACTAAAAATATAGGCACAATTTTCTTTATACAAGCATATAAAGTTCAAATGTTGACAAAATTCATCATAATCACACCAAAACTTGGAAATTATTTTTTAGTTAAAAATCTATGAAATTTATTTTACCTTTTATACGTACATTTTTAAATTTAAAATAAGGTTCCACATAATTAGTTAATATTGTAACCAAAAAATCTAAAAATATATTAACACAGTTTCTTTTATCGTAGACATTTAAAGTTAATATTTGGACGAAATTAGATAATAATATATTTAAACGACAAATAACGATGTTAGTTATTTATTTGTAATTCAAAAACATTATTCTTGGGGACTTAAAACTTTTACATATATTATTATAAACTATATTATATAGAATGACCTTTTCAAAATAATAAGATTAATTTTAAGCTATTATCCATTCATAACACGAGTCCATGAAACTATTCACAATGTTCTATACCCATCTATATACGTTAAAATGGTATTGGCTCAAAAGTTAATAACTAACAATAATAATATAACATGTTACATGATAGAAATAATATACACTATTATAATAATTAATAAAATAAATGCAATGTTTTCGGAAAAAAAAAAATAAACCTGCTGTAATATACTTGTAGTGAAATAAGTTATAGGTACTTACTTTAGTAAGTGTTTCTTTGCAATATTCTACCTTTTGAAAATATATTTATTAAAACCATTCAAAAATTCAAAAACGATATCATTCTAAAAAGTAAAATCTGCTTTGAGTTTTCGATACAATAATATTATAATATATAGAAACATAATATAGTGCATAATATAAATATATAAAATATAAGTGCCACGAGAAAGATTTGAGCTGAGTTTGTCAATAGTTCCATCTCCATTAATATAACCTCAGCAATTATAATTTGTATAATATTAATCAAAGACAAAATGTCTTTTAAAATAAAATATTTAAAAAATGTAACTATGCCGTGGTGATGTACTATATTACACGAGTCTTGCAATTTGAAAATGTTCAATATAACACATTTTAAAATTATTGAATCCCACGGTGCTCGGCGACTGAGTTGCGATGAATAAAACATCACTCTACACCTGCACCCGGGCTATTCTTTAATTCTTTCGCTGCACAATCGAGAATTATAATATACCTTTGTGGATTATATATATATATACGACCTTCCCTACATTATTTGTGAGGAATCCAACACTAATTTTTCTGTAAAATGTTATGATTTAATTTTAAGTTTATTTATATAAAACATTATTGTGTCGTTATTAAAAAAATCGTATACAATCAAAACCAAATAGGAGACGTGCAAAAAATATAATTGTTGACTAAAAGCGTTTAAAATTAAAAACGATAAGTTTAAAAACAAGTCGAGTGTGAAGGCTATATTGATTTTACCAGTACCTATATTAGGAAATGGGAATAATGGAAGCAACTAGTTACTAGCTTACTAAAAATAATCAGAATATTTCATTCTCTATAATATAAATTGTATATTGTGTAATTTAACAAAGATGGACGGCGGTGAATGATTATTTACAAATTCTGGCATTGAATGTACCATGTACCTATATAATTCATACTAATATTATAATATTATTCCGAATTCCCTTCAACGAAGACGGCCTCTTCCCCCACCAACAATCAACCCAATATCCATCATACAGCACTTACACTTATTGTAAATCATTTAATAAAAATATTATAATATTAATTATATCGCCGTTCATTGATTTGTCATCGATGGATAATTTGTGACTCAGTCACCTCGATGGGCGCAGCAGTTCCGTTGTATTAAATATTTCAACAGTGTTCCGTCTATTGTCATTGATTAATAAATGCACAAACAAGAAGCATTGCCAATTTTTCTTTTTTCTTAACATATGCTTCTATTGTACCTTTATTACGTTTGTATAAATTGTATAATATATTTAGTATAAAATTTCAAATATAAATTATAAACTACCTATCATAAAATTATAACTCTCTCGATTTATATTTTTCTCAAATTTCTTTGAATCGATTTGGTTTTCTTATAATTGTGTTATACTTAACAGCTAATGTCAAAAACATAAAAAATATAGAACATTATATAATAGTAATAAATTAGTAAGTTACTATATAGGTATTATATACCAACAAATTGTAAGGACAGACGGTCAGACAAAGTGGGCGTATAATAAGAAAATATATTCATTGTATAGAAACCCTAAAATAAAGCTAGTTATTAATTATTATTACTATTCTTTTTTTTATTTAAAACAATTTAAATAGTTAAAAAGTATATTTGAATCTTAAAAATTCTCATTTTTATTTCTTTTACAAAATATCAACAAGTTTTTAAAAATTATTCCAATAAAAAAATGTTTAATTTAACTAATACATTTTTTTTTTTATAAATCTAAAGTAATATTACACAGCTATGATGTATAATATAATATCTATCATTTTATGATGAATCAATAAATACATAAAATCGAAGATTGATACACTCCGTATTAGCAAAGAATATAGTAGGAAATATATGTTTTATTATTTTACATGAAACTGTATTAAATATAATTTTAAAATAAAATGATAACACGGTCACTACCACATAAATCATCATAAGTTGACATGTGGGTGTCTGACAGCCATAAGTGTCTTAAAAAAGAAACTGTTGTCAAGTATACTAGATGTAAGAATGAGGACTATAATATATTAGTAAAGAGGGTATTCTGACACCTGGGATTTTCTAACAACCACACAAACTATATGATTTTCCGATTTACCAGAAGGATTCAAAATTCGACTCCTGCAGGTCGTGATTAAACAATAATATACATTTTACAGCCATAACTTCGAAGTCGTTAATTAATCCATAAATTCAAAAATGACCTAAGTCTTATAACCAACTAGAGTATTACACATCAATTGGAGACTTCGATGGTAGTGAACAATGTAACGATGTGACTGTTTATATATTACCAAACTGCAATCGACAAAAAAAAATGATCGCCCCAGACAGTTTTCGTCTTTAGGTCCTAGGCTAGGATAATGGCCATGGCCCACGACCAATTAAGCAACACAAACTAATATAATTGCGTCTATAGAAGCATACACGCGGCTCAATTGGTTTCACATAAATTGTAACACAGCTGCAGTGTATAATCAAACGACATAAATAGTTACATCCCCACAATTGTTCGCACTCCAATAACTCCCATTCAACAGTATAATTTATAATTAACTTTAGGAAATTACTTAACATAAACATATTAAAATTTAACTCGAATTGTTTTCTATATGGTTAACTGGCAAGTATACATTAAGAGGACGTCTCACCCACAAATTGTATCCATCTTGGAAATGCGAAAATAGCAAATTTGCGTTTAGCAATTCTCATTTGGCTTAGTTAATCTTAATATTAGAGTGAATTTATCTATTATTAAACTTAAACCCCAACTTAAACGTAACAGCATAGGTATTATATATTATGGTTTTTTCGACATTTTTAATTTGTAATTAGTACCTATGTCCTATAATAAGTAGAGTCCGGATTATAATATTATATCATATTTCCATTATATTGAATTATATTTGAGAAATTTTTTCGAGTTTTTAGTTTAGTTTTAATTTTTGGTCACCGATTCGGTAATTTCCTGTGATAAATGATTGTTGTTCATCATATTAAACAAATATATTTTTATACTGATATTTCACTAGAGAGGCCACGATACACCAATAAATAATAATAGAATATATACTGCACGACATCAAGTCGTATCTATTATCTTAAATTATTATCACTATAATACGATCAGGACATCGACTAGTATATTATATATTTATCTACATCCTAGTCGAAAAAATAAGAATTTTTTATGAAAGTAGATCAAAATTCCATTATTTTAAAGAAAAATTATGCAGAAGTTTAGTTGTATCAAATATTCCTTGGAATAAATTACAAGTACCATTATTTCGATAATTTTTGGAAAAGTAAATTTGCCGACACATCACTGATCAGAGTACCTTATGTAAGCATTATGTCGAACCATTTACACGATTTCGGAAATTGATTGGAATATCTGGTTTTCAGTTGACGAAACTAATGATATTAATAGGCATTATATTACTAATTTTATAATTGGTATTTTATCAACTGAACATGTTGGGCAGTCATATATTTTGCATGCTCGTTTTAATATAAATTATATCACCACATAAATAATCATAATCATATTGAACGTTTAATTTAACAAAAAATAAAATATTTAAAATAAAATTTTTTTTTTGCTTATGGTTTATGTTTAAAAAATTAATAAATTTAGGAAATATTAATTCATCATGTTTTACTTTTTACTGCATGTAAACATCATATTTCAAACGTCTTAACAGAATATAAATCCGGACTCTAGACTAATAAGTAGGGCACGGATGATGTTGCATTTGCAACTTTTTTTCTACTTTTTCAATTAATTGCTAAGTAAGTTTTAAATACGTTTCATGTAAGTACGAATTCAAATCTAAAAGTTTTAAGTGCAATTTTTTGCAATTTTTGGGATTTTTTCAATTTTATTGCAATTTTGTCGAATTTACTCATTTATACAACTATTTTAGCCATATTAAAACTTATATATGACTTAAAACCATTATTAAAATCATTGATATACTAACTGGACAAAGAAAATCGTTCGATGGTTTACCCGAAGACTTAACAGTAAGCGATTTATCTTATTTTAAATACGCTCCGCTTACATCAACCGACGTATAAGAACTTACTAGCTAAACTAGCTCCAAATCGAAGAGGGTTTGATTTCGAAAATTTAAAACAAACACTTATAGTACAAATGCAATGATGTATAATATAATAAATTTATAATGGCATGATTATAATGTAATGTATATATTTTTTTTGAATTATTTAGAATTTTAGATTATAATTTATAACAGTAAACTTAAAACATTTATAACAAAACGTTGTTATTTTTAGTGCAATTTTTAATATTTTAAGTGCAATTTTTGGTATTTTTTAGTGCAATACTGCAATCAATTTTACAATTTTTTAGTACTACAACATCCGTGCCCTACTAATAAGCTTGTAAACCGAGCCATTTGGTGACCCGTATTCCTTCATACTATATAGCGGTCACTGTCATTGTGTCATTTATTATGCAATTTTATGTTTATAATAAGAATTATTATAAGCGTGCATAATTGTATTGTATATGGGTTCATCACATATTATGCGTGCAATGATTAGGTTGTATCATCGAGAAGTGATTGTAAATTTTAATACATAGAAAAAAAATGTTTAAGTAATATATTCGTGTAAAAAAATGTCATCGCCTCCCATCACCCCCCCCCCTACCACCAACAAACATAACCAAATTACGCAACTGGTGAGTCACCTACACCAGAGTACAGGTAACGATGACGGCGACTCACCGGTCGTGACATGACATCACACGTGATTGTAAATAATAATAGTTATTATTCTGTTTGAGCACGAATTATGGAATGACAAGAAATCAAAATCAAACCTATACAAAACACACATACACGTGATTTAGATCACTCCTGTGAAATTTGCGGTAAAGCCATAATGTAATATTATATATTTTCGTAATTATTGCTGTGTACCCATATACGATAATATGATCCAATAAACGTTGGACACTCATTATTTCAGGAAACAATTAAGTTTTTTTTAAAATATTTCATTTACACAATTTCAAGTCGTTACAAAACAATATTTTTTACTATATGTTTTATGTTTTTTACTGTTTTTTTTGAACGACAGCATACATTTTTATTTTTCATGTGTAAGTAATTCGATCTAAAACAGTAAAATTTCGGACAAGTACCCTTATAAATTATAATTATTTTTAAGTTTAGATGAGTGGATTAGTGATCTAACATTTTGCGAGTAACCCAGTACCACTCCACTTTGCTCGAATAAACTTTATAATACCTATATATACTTATAACTCATAAGCTACTCGTACAAAGATTTTTAAACATCAAAGAACCTACTCTAAAAATATTCTGCTTTGGAATAGGACATTAAAACTGGAGGTTGTGGTTAATTAAATTATAGCTATAAAAATAGTAAAAAATATATTTTTCGATTTAAAATTATGTAAAAAAAAAAAACGTTTTCAAAGCGTTGATAGTTTTTTAAACAGTGAGTGTCTTACGATTAATGGATCACCCGGTAATAATATTTATAGTCAATAATGTAATTACATGGCATTTCTATAATATAATATTATTTCTTCAACCTACACCATCCGGCCCTCCGGCCGCATACGATATCATTATTATTTCCGTTGTGTAACTGCATCCGAATATGATATGAAACAAAGCGACAGGATTTCACTTAAGTAGGTTTTAGTGCGTAAATATTATAGTTTCTACTAATGGTCTTTCATTTCAACACGGTCATGATAATATTATCTAATGTAAATAATATATATATGTGTCACATTTTATTTTTTAAAAAATAGAAAAGAAAACATCGAGCTTAGATACATAACTTATAAAACATGCAATGTGATTCTTAATTATTATAACAGTAATATATCATGAGTGTTCACTCATATATTACTTCAAAAAAATATTAAACTTTTTGAAAATTATAAGTATATATAATACACGCAATTTCAATTTGTTATATTTCCCAGTGCCCTTATGTTTTTGTTAACAAAAGAAATTTGGGGGGCTTGGAAGGGCTGAGCTCCTCCAAAAATGCGTATTTCAATTGTATTATTAAACCCTTCATTATTTATCTAATCTACAAAATTCAGTAGGTAAACGTTGTTTGAATTATTCGCATTGTTCCGTGTTCGTATCCATATAAAATTTCTAAAATTAATACTCCTGTACTCGTGTCCGACTGTTGATTACCGGTAAATTGTTACGATTGTTCTGGTATTAAGATATATATTTATTGTCCTCTGTTACGATTGTTTGTATTTGTATATATCTATTAAGTTTTTATAAAGGTTCAATTCAATTATGGGCAGCTATGCAGTGTTTGAATTATATAATATTCGTCTCTGTATCACAGTATTAATATTATTTCTGCATTATTGTTACCATACGAATAATTAATTTTAATATTATTCTAAAATAGTTATAACGCACTTTTTTATATATAATAACATATTAATATAGTGTACTAATAACAGCTATGATAATGTCGAATATCGTTGCAGTACAGAATACATCGACCGAAGTCGAGATTCGCTCACCGTCCGCCGAATCGATCGCGTTGTACCGAGTTTTTGCCGAGCTAAGAAATGGCCCGAGCTGTAAAATCGTGTTGACAAGTCGCGGTGATTTCGCCGGTCCCACGACCAGTCTATACAGTTCAATGCCGAACATGGCGGTGCAGGCCGCTTCTGCGGGTGATGCAGGAGCCGGTATCGATCGATTCACCGTCTTTCGATGCGAAAACCTAACCGAAATGGTCGTGGCCACCCAAGTCAAGATCGAGGAGTCACCCGTCACGTCGCAGCTGCGGGTTTGGCCGGCCGAAGCGGGCGTGCAGCAGTCAAGCAGCGTTCTCTTGGACCACATCGAGTACGTCCTAGCGCGAGTTTCGACGGAGACGTCCGAGTTTGAAAACGGCCGAGCTAAATCTCAAGCGCAGACAGCTGCAGTGCACGCGAGTTTGTTGAAGGAACCAGTATAATTCTCCGCCGGTGTGATGGAACATATACCCGGTAACCGCCCAAGCGCCATTCAATGTGGATACGGACGAAGCGATTCTTCCGACGCTTATTTTGTTGCGTTTGATATAGGAAAAAAATGGACCCTGCTCAAGCGGGTATCACCGAATCGGGTTGCAGCCGTTCGAACGCTATAGTTGAAAAAAAAGTTATACCTAGATTATAAGTGCAGTTCTTACAATGTCCGGTTAAAGTTAGGTTAGGTTAGGTTAGGTTAGGTTAGGTTTCGCGGAAGAATGCGAAAGCAGTTCCCGCGACGCCGTCGGTTCAAAACTGCAAAAAAAAAAAAAGGTTAGGTTAGGTTAGGTTAGGAACTTAACCGGACATTGTAAGAACGGCCCTAAGACTGTTATACTGCTGCTAATCGGCTATTCCTATATTATGATTTGCACAAACAAACGTTTTGTTACGTCGCCTATTCAATTGGCTTTTATTCGATATAACATTATTGATTATTGTTATTAATAAACGCGTCAACACGCTAGTGGAAAATTAAGTTTCACGGCTTGTGAAAATCGTGACGAAATAATTTTAGGTAGGGACACTGTACAGGTATACTTTCGGATTTTTTGTAACATGTTCTTTTTATTGGCATTGAAAGAAAAATGACATAAACGTGTCCTAAAAGCTACTCGATATTTTCTACTTTGAAGAAAATGTATGAATCATAAAATATGTATTAATATCTAATAAGTAACCATGATGCCCTAGTGGGAATCGGATAATTTTTACATTTTCATCTCTATGGTGATACACGAAGCGTTAGAAAAATAAAATATCTGTACCCGGCCAATAAACTTATTTGTATTAAAAACTGAAAAAAATCAAAAAACGTCTTTAAATAGCTCAAACATTTTTTCGTGTACAGAAAATGTATGAAATCAAATCCTTTTCCCCACAACTGTTTTACCATTAATTGGCAAATCATACATGCTTAACTAAATATACATTTTTCAACTATAACTACACGAGTATAATATTGTATGGGTACTTATATTGTTGGGTTGCTCGATCACTCGCGTAAAGTCATAACTCACAATACCTAGATCGACTTACCAAACTTGCTGCGTGGCTGCTGTGCCGAACGTCTGCACATCCTACGTGTATAATATATATACCATCTCACGTGTTCTCGGAACTGAATTGATATCCAGATGGGAAATATATATTATTATACTCAAAAGAAATTGCCCAACCAACCCCATCGTCTTCTCCTTGTCACACGGTGCGCAACAATGGGAAACAAACGGTATTGTATACTCGTGACTCGCTATTATTACTACACTCGTATATAGTCTACTTTTAAGCATTTTGTAGGTAGGTAGGACATTGTACACGGTATATATTGGTTTATTAAAATATACCATGGCCCGAGCTCGATAAAGGTTCAAGTCGCGCGTGTAACTATTATATTATTTTTGGACTTAATACAGTGTATATTACAATATATTGTATCGTACCAACATGTGCGGTACATCGATATATAGGTACCTAAATTATTATTAAGCGCACGTGGTGAAGCTATATACGACGAGCGCGTGGCTTTTGTAAGCATTTTTAGTCCCCCAAACCCGACTGTAATATCTAACACCTATAAAGTGTAGCCAGTGTAGGTAATACCAGTGGCGTATATACGAATTATTTTCACTACGGGCCAATTTATCAGTTATCACTATTCAAGCATAGCGCCACTAACATAGCCATAATTATACATTTTTAAGGGAGCCGGGTGGTAATAATTATGACATATACAGTACAAATAAAAATTGCTTAATTCAATTTTATAATAAACTATTATGTAAGATTAATTTTTTGGTTCTTTTTTTCGAAATATTGACAGTGTCATTTATATATTTTAATGTTATCTTACTATGAATTTAACATCAAAGTCGATAGGTAAGTCATCAAAGCAAGTCCTGGCAATCTAACATTTCCTTGTTGATCCCTCAAAAATGATTTTAATCAACCGGCTAACTAAATCATGGTGAAAAACAGTGCACTGTATCCATGGATACATGCAATGCTTTAATTAAACCTGTAATTTCACTATGGCCTAGGGGGCCTATATAGTATATGTGCCACTGGACAATACTAGTGGCGAAGTATCATATTATGCTCGTATAGTGATTGTCCCTTAAATATATTGTGTTCGATTATAATGTTACCTACGTGTACAAGAAAACTGATTTTGTATGCATTTTTTTCCCGACAATCTGCAGCCCATATGGCTAGGTGAATCGTGGATATACATCCGGTCGGGTCTGCTTTATCTGTATGCAAACATTTCGAATACTATAATATATTAAAATAGTTCTGATTTCCAAGCTTATTATAACCCAACAAATAACATTTGATTGATATTTATAGACAAAAAAAGTAAAAAATTGAATTTCGAAAATAAACAGCTCAAAATATTTTGAAAATTGAAGGTTGTATAGAAAATGCTAATTCAGTGAACACTTCATGTATCTATTATGGATATTTTTAGAGTCACACCAAAAACCAAAATCGATTTTTTCGAAAACCGATTTTGCGTAAAAATTTCTGTTTTTCGGTATTTTTTGTTTTCAAGGTGCTTCTGAAAACTATTTGGAATTTTTACCTCCCAAGCACCAACTAGATTCACTATCCCATCGAACAAATTACTGAAGTTGAAAGTCGAAGCATTATTTCAATAACACCTTATCGTGTACACAGACACAAAAAAATTAAAATAAAAAACCCACATCATTGTAAGATCAATCGCTCCTCTCAGAATCTAAAACATTATTAAAAACGTTAATTTTTGTGGAGATAATAAGTGTTTACTGTGAAAATAATCATCCTATAAAGTATACATATAATATTATACCTACTTGTATGCAGTACATATATTTTCAAATAATGACATATCAGTTTTGGTCTTTGCACATAATATATGGCGCCACACACACAATAAAGAAATAATATTATCATATTTTGCCACCACTTGAAATATACGATTTCCAAACTATTTCAATGATAATTCAAAAATTAACAAAATGTACATAATATCAGCTTCTGCCATCTTTCCACAGATTTATGATTTATCATTGGCACATTAATATTAATATATCTACTAGGTATGTTATTTGTTGAATTTATGTTGAATGTTGCACGATAAATGTGTCAAGCTGTTTTTACACCTCAAATGGAACAAAAAAAGTCCTTATGACCCCTGCCTTCAAAAATAATTGTTGTTAGATAAAACTGAAATTTTTAAACTTTCGACATTTTAAAGTTATAAAAAAATTGTGTTATTCTTTTTACCAAAAGAATCAGGTGGGCACCTTGTAAGAAATGTTTTCCTAATCCCAATTTTATGAGCTTTTCATCAATGTATGAAAATTAATTGTAGTACCTACGGTTTAGCAAATATGAACATTATTATGAATCAAACTTGCGTTTAACCAGAAAAACACAAATCTGGAAATTATCACCCTTATTATTGATAGGTAATTCGATTATGGTCATGAGGACTTTTTTTGTTCAATTTGAGGTGTGGAAACACCTCTAGAAGTTTGACACATTTGTAGTGCATCACCCTGTAAATATATATATATATATATAATATATCTGTAATTATATACTACATATACATAGTACAGTATTATAATATGTATTAATTGTCGTATATATTTTAATTATTATAGAGTATAAAATATAATCATACCTATTTTTTTTTCGTTATCAGTATCTTATTTAGACTACATCCATAACCCATAATTCCTGAGCATGTTTCTGCATGTACATACACATTATATGAGGTGGCATACAAACGTGATAAGGATATGATATGCATAGGTAACTATAATAAGTCACAGCTGAAGTTTTCGAAAACAATATTATATGATCGCGATATTCGATCGAGGGTTTTCCACGAACGTGATTCTATATTTTCCGATGCATCTCCACGTCACTAGTCTTTTTTCTTCATAAATATATATATATATATGTGTGTATTATAGGTGGGTATTTATAGTAAAAGTAATAAACTAATAACAAATAATATGCGTCTTAGACGGATGTAAGATTTAATATTTGTTATATCCATTATCCTGCAGTTTTTCTTCCGCTGTCGAGGTGAAAACTCGGGGAAATTCATCCCATTATATGAGTGGAAAAACATGAAAATCCTTGTTGTTCAGTCCCTTCTTGTGTAATGCCTGCGGTAGACATACCAGTATACCACTATGTATTTAATAATGGTACAACGTGGTTACACCATAATCCTATATAAATTGACAATAAACGTAATGCACAATATTTTTTATTTCAAATGTTATTTTTCTTCTCATTCGAGTCGTTCAACACGTGTGTACCTATATAGTTGATAAAACCCGTGACGGTTCTTTCGAATACATCTCTATAGTAGTTAATTCAGAACCGGAGGGGGGAGGGAAATGTGGCAAATGCCTTAGGACGGGAAAAGTTGTGAAATTTTAAAGGACAGCAAATGTTTAAACATGTATGTTTAATAGGGGTGCCAATGGCAAATATTATTGCCCTGGGGCGCAAATGAAAGTTAGCACGGCTCTATATAACAGACAGTATTCGTGTATAGGTATTAAGATTTAAGATAATATTATAATTTGTACTTGGCATGTAATAATTTTCTGTTTGTCTTACGTACATTTCAAATATAATATTTTCATATTAAACGTTTTAACGGCTGTATAAGGTTCTAAGTAGGTATTCGTTCCCATCAGTGTGTAGTTATACCGATACATAGACACCTAACCAAATACAAATAACTATAAAATGTTATATTATAAAAATATTCAACCCATAAAACTATGATTACAATAATAAGCGAATTACAGCTGAATCTGATTACCTACATTATAATTTATAACGTAAAATAAAATATGTAAGTAGGTATAACTCATCAGTGGTTACACTTTGCACTCGACGGACGTAATAATTAAAATTTCTGTATGATACATTTTTGATAAAACTAAAAAATAAAACAAGGGCGTTCAATAAAGTAAATGTTAAACAAGTTCTAATAATTATAGTTCTACTAAAACTGTGCATTTCGGTTTTTGTTGTTATTAATTGCATTATTATTATTTACGAGAAAAATTTACTCGGGAAAAAATTAATTGATATTAAAATTATAAAATAATAATAGATTTTAAATTATTATCAATATAAAATGGACATGCTTTATTAATAAAAATTGTAAATATTAATACGTAGCAAATAATATAATATAAGTTAGGTACATTTTTAAAAAAGTGGGAAGTCAGTCAGTTGTATATTAGGTTTTAACTTCGAGTGTAGCTCTTCGCTGAGTAGGTTTATATCACCTTAAAAGATGTGTTCGATTTGAATTAAATAATAAAATTTAATTTCATACGACAAACCACTGTGAGGAGTGACGGCAAGGCAGTTAAGTTAGCCCCACAGACTCGTCGGATCGACTACAAACTGGTGACAATATTTTTCAAATTAATTGCAAATAATTGTAAATTGGGTTTCTCAATATTTAAATTTATAAATTGCTACAAAAGGCGTAAAAAAATTTGTGTTTAACGTTTCGTCTAAAATATGTAACTATTTATTATCTGTATTGTGTATAGGTATAATATTATTGTATTTATACCAATACAATAATGCATTTTGGTAAACGAGCAGTTATCTTTGTTTGTATCAAATAAATTATAATAAACATTTGATTTGGGTGACTAAAAATTATAACTATTCACGTTTTAAATTTGATTTTCTATCTGAGTGTTAATGCCGAAAAAAATAAATCTATATGGTAGCCGCTAGTGTATAATATTTATTTTTTTAAATATAATTGTTTCTACACACCAAGTATTTTTAGAATGTTAATCAATGGTTTGCAAATAAGTGAATAATATTATATACTTACGAGTTACAATTAATACTCAACTATTTGAGCTAATTTTCTATAAAATATTGATAAGTCTGTATGACTATTGTACCTATATAGTGTTATTGGTAATTTATTTATTAATAATTATTAGGTACCTACCTACTAATAAATACCCAAAACATTTAAATTATTGCATCAAATAATATTAATATTACATTTTTGTGTTTTTATTTAAATCCTCGAAATGAACGAGTATAAAAGAGTACAAAAGAGTATAAATCACTCAGTATAATATATTAAAAATAAATTTAATTGTGTATAGTGACCACCAGAAATAGGTAACAAAAAAAACATTGGTATTTCGACAAAAGTTTGAGAGTCGAGTTCTTCTCTAGTCTGTACTTTCTCGTGAAAAATACGTGCAATGCATTACATTAATTAATAGGTAGTCGTGCTGACGTAACTTGATAAACGGACGAGTCCGATGACAATCGTTTTGAAATAAAAAAAATGACCTCAAATGCTACTGAAAATGTAAGAGATTTATTTGAAATAATTCCCGCGGGAAAGAGTCTGTGAATTTTTGATACCCACAATATAATATTGATTCAGAAGTTCCTCGCTGCTATGAAGTTTATGAAGTCTATTGGAGTTTCATCAAAAGTTTGAACCATCGATTATTAATCGAGCTAGCAATAATGGGAAAACACGAATTTTGAACTGACGACATAATACAATATATTATGTACAATAGGTACCTTACATAGGTTCTATAAAATAATGTAGATATAATAATATGCTAAAATGTCGAACATTTAAAGATGTGTTTGATTGCAGTTGAAATTATATTTTACTAATCGTATATTTCAATGTGTGGGACTGGCAGATTATTTACAAAATATATTAACAAAGTTTTATGCAACCGATATCTCTAAAAATATTTGCATTTTACTTATTTCAAAACTCTGACGAATAAAATATTTGCTTACTACCAATGATTATAATATTAAATATTAATACAGTTATATAATATATTTAAATTACATTAAAATTAAATAAATCCGGGTAACTTACAATTTTAAAATGGCAACTCTCGAATTACTATCACATTTCGTAGTTTTGTCCAACGTGGGACGGTGAACGTAATTATGGATTCATATTTTTGTGGAAATTTGCACAATTTGTAGGTATACCTACTACATAGTAATATTAGAAAACACATTATTTGTGGCTTTCGTTTCGGGATTTGTTGTGTTTGCTCAGAATCAGAATTGAATCAATACAATTATTAATCGTTATACCTCATTTTTTTATTTTCAAACAAAGGTCATAATGCCATCTGCAATATAAATTAACAAATGATTTTTTTATTTGCTCTACGAGTCAATGGAAAAACTCAAATCTCCCGGGAAAAAAATGTAATAGAAATAATATTTCAGAACTAATAATATTCTATATTTATTAGAATTCATAATATATATTTATAAGTTATTTTTTATACACGCGTTCAAGTGTATCTATACATTTCAACAATTATTATTGTTTAGGTACTATACTTACAGAAGCGGATAGTTCTTCAGCTGGAAATGATTGTTTTATCGACTTTTCATAAAACAGTAGCAACACTAATTAACATTCAATATATTAAATTAATAGTAAATAACATAGATATACTTCGGGTGGATATCCGTAGATTTAAGTGCATTGAGATTCAAAATTTGAAAAAGAGTCCACTGTGGAAAGTATGTACAGTGAAACCTCTCTATAACGGAATCGCATGGGACCGTCAAATTTTTCCGTTGACTAAAATATACGCTGTACATCAGTTATTCGGGAACGCTGTTATTTTCCTTTCTAGGGAGATTTCCGTCTTATAGGGTGTCCGTTATAAGGAGGTTTCACTGTAATGTTATCTCGTCCCCGCGTCTAATTGAATAGCTAATCAATTAAGTGTACAAATATCTAATCCGATGACGTGACGCGTTGTTTGATCCACAGGTGTTGGTGCGGCACGAGGAGCTCCGGTACAGGAAACACGTGCGCGTGGTGCGCGTGCTGCTGATCAACGTGATCGTGGTGCTGGTGATGTGGCTGCCGATCACCGTCGTGATGTGCCTGATCTACGTGGACGGCAGCCGGGACACGGAGGACACGGGCTACTTCCTGCGGTCGCACCACTTCATCATGGGCCTGCTGTTCGCGCTGCTCAACACGGTCGTCAACCCGATCCTGTACGGCGTGCTGTCCGAGAACTTCCGCAAGTGCTTCGCCCGGCTGTGGTTCATATCGAAGCGCCGGCGGGCCATGCACAGGGAACTGCTGGACAACGCCAGCAAGGGCGCCCGGACTCCCAGCAACGGCCACTACAACTCGACACTGCAGCCGGGCAGTTCGGCGTCCGTGGTCGAGCTGCCGGCCACCGCGGTCGCGTCGTCGTCCGCCACCAACGAGTGTTGGTGAGGTACCGACGACGCTCAACCCGCTGCCCGTCCGCGAGGTCAGAACGGAACGGAACAGAACTGCGGTCGCATAAAATGTCATTATTATTATTATTATTATCGGAAAAAAAAATTGTAATATCGTAGGTACTCTATTAAATATTATGACTTGTATCGTCGCCTGAGAACCATCGTGGCCAATCTCAGTTTTCCCAACTTTTCAGGAGGGACAAAAAACTGTTTTTTTTTGTTAGGAATTTTGACATTAATTAAGTCTAAAACGTTTCGTCTTATATTGTCAATAATAATTATAATATTAGTAATACTAATTTCGTCGAGTTGTTGGCTGCTGACTGCTCTCTATTATTGGTGGCAGTTCCGATATTTTTAGATTGGCCATGGTATACCATTGGTAACAATTTTAGACAGGCCATGATACCACCTATGATACCACTAATAAAAATTTTAGGTAGGTCGTGATATCCCTACAATGACAAACGGTTTTGGATAGGCCATCATGATGACATTTTGAATTTTCACAGCGAACCCAACGGGTCAAACCTCAAAACTAATCGCATGGTCTCACGAGTCTTGAAAATACGAATCTATTGATATATATATAAAACGTAAATTAAAATGTTTTGAGATTGGCCTTGATAAGGCTCTACATATAATGGGTATGCTATGCCACCATTTTGCGACTCATTTATCAATGATAAAATAAAGGGGGAGATTCATATTCAAATATTATTATTAATAGCAAAATGGGGGAATAGCATACCTACAGTATCTACAGTGCCCTAGCCATGACGGTTCTAAGGCGACGATACACTACCCCTTATTTGTTGTAAAATAATAATATGACGTAATATTATACTTAGGCAATTGTATTATTAGCGCCATAGAACTTATAGGTTGCAAGTAGGTATAGGTACGAGTACATATATATTGTATACACAAGACACCACTTTACCTCCAACACTATAACCGACCCATACCTCTTTATACTCGTTCAACACATACCTACCTATATATTATATGTGTGTGGATAAGTTCAGGTCAATCCTCGATGATGCCTAACCTGACCAGGTCACTTATTATAAGTAGGGCCCGGATCTTGATGGATTTGCATCTTTTATTCTTATGATGATGCATTCGCGAGGCTCGTCTTTACAGAAATTTGAAATATTCAAACAATAATATTATAGAATTTGCAACGTAGAATATATCGGTCCAATTTTTATTTTGAATTTTTCTCATTTTCAGGGAATGCATTGTTCTACAGTCATCTTTTAGTATTTTCGGTGCGTTTTATTCGGTTTTGTAATTTTCTTTTACATGTATTTGCATTTTTCTTGTTGAAAGTTACATTTTATGGTAACACATTACGTTTCCATTAGCTTGTCGATTAGCATTATCTTTTTCGTTGACTGTATCATATACATGACTGTAGCAATCAACGATTATATAAAAACAAAACCGTAGACAGATACTATTTTAGGCCCGGCCAATCAGAAAAAAAGTCGAAACTAGGAAATCAGAACCTATTTCAATCTGCAAAAAAATATTTTTGTAGACTCCTTCGAGAGTGAACATTTTTAAAGAGCTAGCACCTATAATATTTACGATTTATGATACATGAATTGTATAAAACGTACGTTTTAAAAAAATGTTAAGTCATTACAAAGTAATTTTTGAAGTAATTTGTTGATGTTTACAAGTCATTTTAACAGTTTTTTTTTTGGGTGCATTTTTTAAAGATTTTCAGGTCATCGAGTTCCGGGCCCTATACTTATGGGGTATTATGGATTATAGCGTAATGTGCTCATAATTTAGTTGCCGATAAACAGCCCCTAGTAAATACCCTACCCCCCAATCCCACCCCTTAAGCACGCCATGACATGGGATGATCTCACTATAATAGTTTAATGTTATGATGATATTATTGTAATGTAAATATTATTATAAATACGATATAGACTTATCTTATACATACCTATACATATAGTATATATACATGTTATAAATAATAATAATATTGTAGGTACCTAGGTACATTATCTTAATAATTTACTAGTTATTAGTATATATACCTACGACCTATACACTTTATTCCGTATTCGTCATACGATTGCTGTCATTATTACTAGGGATGAGAAGTTATAGGATTTGCATATTTTTTTCTGTATCTTCTATTTATAGCTAGGTGAGCTAAAAATCTGTTTTATAACCTAATGAATCGAAATTTGGTATTTAAATTTTGCATATTTTTGCATATATTGGTAGTTTTCTTAAAAGTTGCATATTCATGTTTTTTTGTGCATAAAAATGCATATTTAGTAAAATTATGTGGAATTTAATACAACTGACATGAAAAATTTATTATTTTATAGAATTGTATGTGTTCGTAGTCTGCAATAATCAATAAAATAAAAATGCAGATAACAAATTTGAAAATTGTAGAATTGTAACATTTAATAGTAGGTAGGTATATAAAAGTAAATCTAGGATTAGTATCTTATCTAATCGTTTATTACTCAATTAGTCTGACTAGTGACAACCGTTGTTGTATAATCTAATCGTTTATAGATATATCAATATCAATATAATATGTGAGTGTTTGACGTCTTTACGTTATTTTAATTCAATTAGTCTAGTGACAACCGTTGTTGTACAATCGTATGTTCGTTCAAAAATTATTTATATTTTAATAGAAACAAATTTAATGGAATATTATTTATATTAATTTATTTTAAACATGTTTTTATTTATGGAAAAAATTGCATATTATAATATATTTTTTGCATATTTTTAAATTTTTTATGCATATATTATAATTTTTCCTTGCATATTTTGTCTATTTTAGCTCCTATAACTTCTCATCCCTAATTATTACTATTATTATAACTGTCCTGTTGATATTAATATTATATCGTATATTTTTTAGTTTTGTAGAAAGTCATTGATTTTTTTTTTTGTATTTGTACCATAAACGTTTTTTATCTATATATAATATTATGTTTCTATTCAAGAAAGCACTATACCTACAAAATATTACTATAACTATAATATGTGACTATTTATTTTTTAGATTAGTGTATACGGTTATTTAATAATCGGAGAGACATGAGCAAACGTGGGAAACGATGTACCAAAGTGATTTTTTTTATGATTGATAATATGTTATTTTTACGAATCCCACGTGTTACTCGATATAATTACGTTATTATTTATTATCTATATTATTATCCATATTGATTTTTTTTACGAAATATTATTAACTGAACATTTGTATAAGAGACACACATACACTGATACACATAAACAGTTGTGAATATATTTTAAACAAATTAAACCATGACTCGCGTGTAATTCTTGCGGTAGCCTTTTAATGAAACAAACACTTAGTTCATGAGAAGTATAAAATTTACATTATTTATTTTGAAGTTAGGCTATACCAATATAATATGACCATATTTAAGCGAAATGTATTTTTCAAATCAGCCACGTTGGTCTTAACTCTATTAGTATCCGATTAATTTTCGATTATTAAGCTCATTAATTAAGTGATTTAATAGCCTCGGACTACGCTCTTACACATAGCATTGTTTCATAATGATTAATATTCATAATTTATTGATGTGTAAACACTATACGTCTTTCCTTGTCCCCTCCCAGAAAATGTATAGTTGTAAATTGTAATAGTTTCGCCTGTTTCTAACTGCTAATCTCAAAAACTAATTGACCAATTTTAATAAAAGTTATGGGACGTATCGATTAATTCCTTGGATTTGAATGGTGTTTTTGCCTTTTTTTCAACCCCAAAAATGTTTCAATAATTGCTGCTATAGGGTGGCTACTGGCTTTCACATGAATAATAGGTTAATAAATATTATTGTTGAAACCAATAGCAACCATTTATAAACAATAAATAATAATAATCTCAAAATTCCTGTTTGAGAACTTCCCAGGGTTAGACCTCTTATTTACCCTTTTTCGCAAATAATGTAGCCTATATTTTCCCTAAGGTCTAATCTGTCTCTGTACTAAATTTCATCTCAATCGGATGAACGGTTTAGGAATGCAGAAAGGACACAGGCGGTAGTCGAGTAGATACAAACGTTTTTTGTCTTTTAAATTATTAAAATTGACTCATCGACATGGCATATTTTTCAAATTTTTGTTTTACAATATACCTAGCTACAACAATGTTCGTTTCACACTAAAAACTTTTAGATGTTTACATATAAAAAAAATTAAATACTGACTGGCTCTCAACTTTGTTGTGTACCTATAGTTATATAGGTTATATATATTATCGATACGAAATTGGACTAGCTAAGCGCCATAAGCCTAATTCAAATTTAAAATAAGTACCTATATGTAGTAGCAGTGGCGTATTTACGGGGGGGGATCATTGGGTTTGATCCCCCCTCAAGGCTTGAGTTGGGTTTTTTTTTTTTTTTTTTAAATCTAAATTAGACGATAGTCCGGGAGCCGTCGAAAGAGTGAGGACTGAGGAGAGCGCGCGAGCAGCTGCTGGCTTATTTTGTAGTATTTCTGGACATTCTACTGTTAAAGTAGAAATATTACTGAAGAATAAACAAAATTCATAAAGTAATATATTTAAACTATATATAGCTAAATATTATTAGTGGAAAAACTTATGACTTCTATACACTTACTAAGCTTATTTTAATAAATTTATTTGTAAATTTATCAGAGTTAAAACTAAAAACAATAAATCATTTTTGGAGTTATCTTGTTTATTGTCCAGAAATTATAACTATTTTTTTGTTTATTTTTAAAATCATGTACAGGTTTAGTTTTTTTTTCTTAAAACTCAAGTATGCTGTTTGATAGTATAATTACATGATAATTATTAACTCAGTTAAATAAAAAAAACTAATTCTTAGTAAGATTTTTACATTATAAAAAAAATAAAAAAAAAAGATTTAATAACTCCGAGCAATAAACAAGACAACTCCAAGAAAAATTTCTTATTTGTGGCTAAAAGTGTAA